TGTAATATAAGAGATTCAATGAAATAATGATCTGAAAAGCTGTCTTCATGTAGGAATACTTTTGGTGTTTTCTGAGGTTTATGAAAATGCATATTTGGAAACATCTGTTTAGCTACATATGTCATTATAATAGTCTTGAATGGTTAAATAGTCCTGAATATAGATGGTAGATTTTGTGTGTATTCTGACTTGGACTGAGATTGTATATCTGTGTGGAAAGATATCCTCCTTTTCCTTCATTGTGCTGAACAATTATTACGTAATAAATTATTTGTTTTAATTGAGAACCATTCTTACCAATTGTAAACACTCATTAATTTGTTTAGTATTTTATTCATAACTTAAGTAATTTCAGATACTATATCAAATCTTTGTATAATAAAGTGTTTTTAATTTATTGTCATTAATTGTTTATATGTGAACTTTAATGTCAAATAATAAACAAATGAAATCATTAACAAGTGCAATTTGTGTGTATAGTTTTTTGTCTGAAATATTTAGTTTATATTATTTTATGTGGAATTCTTAAAGTTTGAAACATTTTTCAACAGTTTTGACGTCTCTGAATAATTATGAAAGTACCAAAGTTTTAATGTGATACCACTGAAGGAGCAACATTGCAAAATGATTTTGCAGGATAAAAAAATGTTCTGTTTTTCTATATAATTACATGTATATAGTGTTTTTGTGAGAAATAATGTGTGTTTGAAACAAAATTCCATGCTTTGAAAGATGTTTATTTTTTCCACTTTATTTCTGAATAAATATTAGGAAATAAGTATTAGGAAGCTTCTTCACAATGTTGCAATACGAATTTGTTAAAGTAATATTTAAAAACAATTCTAATGGGAAATAAATAAATCAGTTTAAACAATTTTCTAACAAAATTTTCTTCGTTGTTAATAGTAATTTAGATTGTGTTTCTCTCAAATATTCCCCTGTATACAGTTTTGAACAAAGGGATCTTATTTTTTTTTTTACTGAATATTTGTTCTGTAGAATCATTTTCTTATATTTAAAGCTGTGTCACTTCATTGTTTTCTTGAAAAGGAGGTAAAACCATTTAACTTACATTCTGTCTTGATAAAGCAACATTTTTTTCATACATTAAAATAGAATATATTAAAAATGTCATGGAATTTGCAAAATTTTAAAAGAAATTTTAAATCTGTTGTATATGGTTTTGAATGTGATTAAATATTTTATGCGTGTAAGACATATCAATCCATCCTGCCCTTCTAAGAAAACCATAGCACTCATTTGTTTATTTGGTCAATATAGAACAAGTACCATCAATGTTTAGTGTATTCCATCATAAGGCTGTGTGTAATAAATTGACTTCTGAGAATTTGTGTTAAATGCTGGATACACACACTGATGCTTTTTTCCTGTGTAATTATGGTATTTTTTATGGAATGTTTTTCTAGATTTTTTTCTTTTTACACAATTTTATATTTCAGTTAATAGTTTCATTTAAGTTAAATAACTGTATGATGATATTAACCATTATTAATGATGGTAAAGCCCCTGAGAATGAATATTAAGTTCCCATAAGAGAATAATTTTATAAGAAATTAATAACGTTCTGTGTGATGTTCCCTAGCTGACTCAAATATATTCTTATTTTTTAAATAATTGTCAGAAAAATAAATGGAGCAATTGAAGTGCTTTGATAAAAGCACATGACCGCTAGTGTATGATTGGTGGGTTCTAAATCTTAATACCACAAAACGCGACCCTTCGAAATAATGAAGAGAATAATGCCTCTTAAATTTAACTTTCCTGAGTTCTCTCGTTGTATGATGTGGCCGCGGTAGCCGAGTGGTATAGGCATCTGATCGTGGCTGGCTTTGTCACGAGTTCGAGCCCAGTACCACTAAAGACCCGCCGTGTAGGGCAGCGATGCACGCTAAATCTGTCGAGAGCTGAAACGTCTACCCGTTGGTGTGGTGTGGTAGTTAGGAGAGGAGGGTGCCAGCTCAGGTGTCGTCCATGTCACTTGACCATGGTTCAAAATTACGTGGTCCGTCTCCAAAAGCCCTCGTGCAGCTGAACAGTGCGACGTTAATCTTCACTCACTCACTCACTCGTTGTATGATGAAGATAGAAAAGTATGGTACGAGAGCTCAAGCTCCTCTTTGAGTGTGTTTCAAAATAAGGATGTCTGTTAATTTTAACATTTTTTGTAGCTCTACATAAATTGACATCAAAATTTAAGTAATTTTTATTTCTTATTTCAGAAAACTGGAAAATTAGTTTGATTTAAAATGAAGAGAGATTAGTTTTGCTCATTAATAAAATCATTTTTACAGAAAATAAAAATATTATGGAATATTTTAACTAAAATTGTTTCACTTAAATAAACTTTCTGAATCTTTGTTCTGTATGCAAAAGCGATATTTAATTGTGAGATAAATGTTTCAGATTTTTTGTAACTATTGAATGAGTTGTTTCTACCAATATTTTAACTATCGTTAAATTTAAAAAGAAAAAAAGTGTATGTGAAACCGATTAAGATAAATCTCCGTTGTTTACAAAATTGTCAAATAAAAGGAACGTTAAATTAGATATTTATTTCTCAGGAAGACTATTTTATCAATCATCATAAAATACGCCTAATATGTTGTAAAATCTATTTACAGCGAACTGTAGGGAATGAAAATTTCAGCGCAATTTTGCTTTCAAAGGATTTTATTCTGCTTCTCATTTCAAAGCGGTAAGTCTTTATTATTTTTAATTGAGTTTAGAATAATGCGAGATATCGTCATGTGTTACATTACAAGATTCGATAAATGATTTCATTGATGTAACTTAACCGCTGCTTCTGGGTGTATATATTAGTAGAGACTCGCGCATCTGATACTCTTTCCCAGTGATCGGCAAACCTTTGAAAAGAAGAGACAAGCTGTGTTAGGAAAACAAGATAACAGGTATCAGGGAGCCACATACGCAAGCGCCTGAGGGAAAGGGCAGCCTTCGATAGCAGTCGTAATCAAGACTGTTGCACTTTTCCAATTAACATTTTCTTATATAATATTTACATAACGCTTTCACGGAAAGTAATTTTTTTTTCTTCATTCCTTCAAAAAAAAACCTTTCGAAGATATTTTTATTTCTGTGGCTCAATGCAAGAACAACCGTGTTAATATGTTGGATGTAAAATTCCAAGCGTCGTATAAAAAAAGGTTTTCTACCTATAATACCGTTAGAATTTTATTCTGAATTTTTATGTATTAATACAGGGTCTGGCATATTAACCTCCCCAGTTTCCAAAGGCAGTTACTAACAAACAAACAAAAAAAAAAGATACAGAGAAAAGTCTTTTATTGGTGAACAACAAATATGATGCCATTTTATATTAATTGGTTTTTAAAAAAATTATGTCCGCTAAATGGCGTCCTCCAATGGTGATATATTCAAAAATTCTTTCCCGAAAGTTCTTCAGAGCATTTCCCCTGGCACTGCTTTGATTTTGTCTAATGAGGCACCACTTCCACTTGTCAGGCACTGTGAATAAACAAAATTTCGGAAATCTGGAAAAGGCCTCTTCATTTGTCTGATATCTAAGCTGTTTAATCTACAAATCATCTAATATGATACTATGAATGAATATATGAAGAATATATATGAAGAATAATTTTGATGAAGCTGATCAATGCGGTGTGTCTGTCGATAGAACTTCGCAACGTAGAGGACACTTGTCTTTAAATGAATGTGTGTGTCATTTCCATAGATATTTGTAAAGTTTAGAGTTTTATGAATCTGTAGTAGAATTTATGAATCAATAGTTTTATGAATCTGTATAGTGATTTTACGGTTGATTATTTTGAGGTATTTACTCAGACACTCTGATAATTGTAAAGGCCTAAATGATTACACATATCAAAATGAATTATATGAATTTTGTTCTTAAATATACATAGGAATTAAACAAATGGGTCATAGAAATATACGCAGATAAATATATGTTATGTAAATTAAAGTTGGTTATTGAGGGGCTTGTGTAATTTTTATCGCACGGTGGCGTGGAGAATAGGGTTTAAAATTAGATGGAATATTCTCATTCTTAAAAGTTTTTTTTTTGCAAGAGTATTGACAAGAAATATTTAGCTACTTATTTTAGATTGAAATAAGATCCAGAACAAGAATTTTAAGCATTGCTTGAGAACATATATCACAGATTTGGCTATCATTTACATTAAGTGTTTAAGAGTGAAGAGAGAAAATCTTCCGAAAATCATTAAACACTGTACGAAAAGTAAAAAAACATTGTTACAACCCTTTGGTAGGTTAAAATAGAATGTTTATTATGTATATAATCGTTAATTTAAATAACTTAAAATGTCTAATAATTATTCTTAATTCATGATTTCTATAATATCTTAGAGTGAAAAATCCAGTTTTTTTGTGAAGAATAAATTTGTTAATTGAATCTAAAGTCACTTTTATGTAAAACAGAACATGTTACTGAATCTTTTCCAATTCCATCTAACAAAAGTAATTATACTATTGGTATTAATCTGATTTTATTTGTCAGAAAACACTATATATACACATACATTTATCAATGTTTTACAATATAGAACAGAAAACAAATTTTACATATACTAAATATTAACAATTTTTCAGAAAAGAATATTTTGGTAGCAAGAAAAATTCAAAACTAACTATTCCTAATGACACTTTTTAACATTTCACACTTCACAAAAAAAAACCTATTTAATTAGTTATTATAGTAAGTAAATTAATATAAAAATAATAAATATAATTTTTTCAAAAAATTGAAATTATTCTGAAAACTTGTGAACATATTTTGTATATTTTGAAAATAAGTATAATAAATTTTAGTGAAGTGTTAAAATTCATTATAAAAAAATATGACATCTTCATACTTTTAAAAATGAAGCAAACTATAGATTAAATTTCAGTTATAATAATAAATAGTGATAAAATGAAATTTATTTAAATGATAATAAAGTTCATTTTCTTCAAAAACTAGTGACTTTGTCGCCCAGCCAGTATGGTGGCTATGTCCCTCGGCTTGTAACCGAGTGGGTTCGGGTTCGAATCCCGAGTAAGACTTGGTTGTATCTTCTTCGGGAAAGAAGTCGGTCTTTCGCCTGAAATGGATTCCCGTCTCGAAAGGAAAAGCAGCGCACCTCTTCTTGTTATATACTGGGATCATCGTTTGTAATAAAAATCTATATTCTTCTGTGGTTGTGTTATATGTTTCTGTTCATCTGTCTTACGTATGTATCACAGTAATAAACACACGACAACAACAACTAGTGACTTTTCCACAAGAAAGCATGAGAAATAAAGAAGTCGGATGTTTCTCCTGCAATAAATGATAGAATTTAGAAAAATTACATAAATTCTATTATTTAGTATAATTTAAAATGCATACATTAATATTGTTAATTTAATAAAAATTAATATGCCACTACAGTTTTTGATACATTAATTTTTTACCACACTACAAATTATTCCACTAAAATATATCTTCGAATACATCGAAAAGAAATTTTGTAAGCTATTGCCTACTTTTATTAAATAACTTTACTTTTCTGTAAGTCCTTCATTATACATAAATTTTCATACTGTAAAGGGGATTATGCACAGTTTATAATTTAATGAGAAATCACAGTACATTTTCAAGTTTGATTCATTGTACACATTAAACAATGATAATTACTTTAATACATAAATCCATAATTTTGCAAGTTAATTCTTTTAATCATTTTTAATTAGGTGTAATAATTTACATCTTTTTCTCTTATATATGCGCAAAAGATGTGCATGTCATCTTTATTCTTCTTATGAAAAATACTCATATATTTTACACACAACCTGAGTTATTTTTTTACATAATTCTAATCAAATATTTGTGAGCACAATAGACAAGTGGTCATGGTCCCAAATGCATAGCCAGCGAGTTTGGTGCCTCTGAAAACCTGAAATCGGTCATCATTAAAAGTCCTCAGGTTGATGTGTGTTGTCCTTGATATTTGACAGATGTTCAAATGATGAAGTTCATTGTGTAAATAGACCTCACATTGCTTTAAGATGCAACATTAATTATAAATCAAATCAAATCAAATCAATTTTTAACTCTTTTTAAGACCATGTTATTTGTATTCCTGGATCACAGAAAAATTAACTTTTACATTTTAAAAGTGTATTTTGAAAAGAAATTTGTTCAATTATTGATTCTTTTACTCAACATTTCATAATGTGATTCATATTAGAGTTAATTTATGTAATAAAACACAAATCACTATCAGAAAAATCTATTCAGGATAATACGAACAATTTAAATTAAAAGCCAAATAAAGACAAAAAAAAATCCCTGTACACTTACCCTGAGTTCCTGATGAAACAGCAGAATAACAATCGTCGTTGCAATCGTATCTATACAGCAATGGTTGAATGAGGGCACCCACAGCGGCCAGCAATTCATCTAACGATGTGGTTTAGCTGGGTTGCGTTCCCAGAGCACTTAGCCCGCTAAGGCTTTGATCTCTTGTCTGGTGAATTTAAAAACATGATAACTTAATTACTTTGCCCATTTTATTTTAGAGAGTTTAAGAAATTAATAATTTAGAGAAAGATAAAAGAATTCTTAATTTATAAGTTTAAAATATTGAAAAAATAGTTAAAATTACATTTACTGAGTTAGAGAATTTTTACTTTAGCTTGTGTTTCCCTCGGCCAATGGGGGCTTCGGGATGGCTGGTCGCCTGTCCAATGGGGAGGCAGCTTTTCATGTTTGTGTTGTGTGTAGAAAAATGAGTTCGTCTGCTCTCTCCCGCGTTGCGAGAGGGAGCTTCCTGATTGGTCGTTGTGTTAAAGAAATGACTTCGGTCCCGGAGTGGTTCCGTCGCCGTGTATTCTTAGAATCATTACTAACGCACCTTGGTACGTTAGAAATAGTGTCATTCGTCACGACTTACACATGGAGCCGATCGATAATTACATCACTAGAACTTCTAGAAATGTTTTTACTTCCATCCAAAATCACGACAACCCAGTAATTAAAGCACAAACACTTTTCACGTATCCTCACTCTAAACTAAATTTTGCTTACAAAACTACTAAATGGAATCTGCCCTTGAAACCGCCGTAATCACAACAAAAACACTTAATTGCTACACTTCACAACATTGAAATGCATTTGCCTCTCATCAGAACTGGGAACAGTGTTAAAGCAGGCTCCAGCTTCGTTACACCTGCTGTGTCATCTGTAAGTTTCCCTTGCAGACTCCTTTCTTTTTCATTCCAGCTGCAAAAAAAAAGAAGCAGCATTTTCCTTTCCACTGCGTTTTTGGTGCTCCTCGAATGCGTTTTGGGGCTGTTAAGCCCACCCCCCTTCCTGCGCTCTTCCATTCTCGATCTCGTGACGTTCTCCTGTTTCGTCCTCGTTCGGCCGTTTTCCTCCTCCAGCCTCCCCCTGCGGGGGAGTGATTTCAGATACTGGTCTTCTTTCATCCTTTTCTCCGCGATTTTGGGTATAAGCGATTTATTTCGCTGGCACCCACCTCATCTAATTTTCATTTCCGTCACCGTGTGCGGGATCGGAGGCTGCCTGACTCCGTAATGGTCAAAGGCGCTCTCCGATTGGTGGATGGGTTTCGTGAAGTTTGACTGATTTTTGTTCATGAATTATGTGTAATGAATGAAATTGGAGTGAAAAAATTTGGAAAAGTGTTTTTTAATAAAAGATTGTTAATCAATTAGAATGTTTCTGGGTCTGTGCATGAGCCTCGTTGGAGTGTACTTCTCGATCTTTTGGATCGAGATATTGTCTGAGTTATCTAATTTTGTAAGGAAATTTTTTGCTAGTTTTTCCATGAATTCTGTAATGGTTTAAATTTATTAGCTTTTCTGAGTGCAGAGTTTCTCATGTACCATTTGGCACATAGAATCTGTCTCAGTGTTTTGTTCTGGATTACTTCAAGTTTTTGTAACGGGCGCCTCTCGCGCCAAGTGTTTTCTTGCCAAATCGATAAGTGCGCCAAATCTGGTAACCCTCCAGAATTTGTTTTCCAGTGAAGGAGAGTAGTTTTTTTGGGGGGCGAAATTTTGAGCATGCGCAGTAGATTTCTTTCATTTTAACAGTTTTAACGATATCGCGGTAAGTTAGCGCATTCGTAATTCGTTTCTTTTTTTATTTTAACAGTTTAATTCTTCAACGGTCTTTCTCGCGCATGAGCAGAAAGCTTTTATTACTTTAAAAATTCCGTTAATGAGGAAGCGGTTATTTTTCTTTTGCTCCGGTTGGGTCAGCTGTTCGGCTTCGTTTTGGGAATTACTTTTTACAGGTAATATTTTTATTTCTTTCTCCACATAAATTTCAAAAGATTGCCATGATGTACAGCGATGCTATTAGGATTAATTTGAATGATTGCATGAAAAATTACGATTACTATTGTTAAAGGTTTTTTTGCCATGTTGCCTGTGCTTGGAAAGAAAGCTGGTTTAGAATGGTGCATGAAAGAAGGTTTGCTTAGATCATCGTATGTATGTCCGAAATGTGGAAAAAGTATGGAGAGAAAGAACGGGTAAGAAAGTGAATGATGGTTTTTGAATGGTACTGCAAAATTCAGTCTAGTGTGAAAGAGGATACCCATCATGTGTTTAGGAGTGTAAGGAAAGGGTTTTGGTTTGAATTGAGTAATATGGATTTGTGCACCGTTTTGTTAGTGATGCAAAAACAAAAATGTTTTGGAAGGTGCTCTCAGAAATATGCAGTAGCACACTGGTATTATTTCAGTAGGCAACTCATCGTCATCATAAATGTCGGAAAAAGATGCATTTTTTAAAGGTAAGTGAAATTATTTCCATTTTTAAATGCCTGATTTTTGCAGCGATTTTCAGTTTCAAAACTTTAAAATGCTATTTTTTAATGATTTTCCTTCCGTCATCTTGAATTTCGCGCTCTGGCGTTGCGTGTTGTGGTAGGGTTGCAACTTCGAAACACAAAACGCAAAAACGCACCAAATTGGCAATTTTTCAAAGTTTGGCGGACAGGCGCCCGATTCGACAATTTCACCTCAGAGTAAAATAAAACAACGGTGATACAAGTAGCGCTGGACAATATGGCTTCTAAAGTTCAATTGTGTCTTTTGCCTGACTCGGAACCTCATATTTTTGGTGACCAAAGCTATTTGCTGGCTCATTATGGTCTTTCGAAACTCAAAGGGGTTGTAGCATATATATATATATATATATATATATATATATATATATATATATATATATATATCCTATATTTTAACTCACTAGATGGTAGCACCTTACAATGAAGTGTACATCTAGAATAGTACTAGTTTTCTCCGCTAGGGTTGCAGTATATATATACGTTGTGCTCATGGGTAATCTCTCTCTCACGCAGATGATTTAGAACATGTCTACAATAAAGTTAAAGTTGTTAAGTTTTATCCGATTGCATCTTGATTGAACATTAACGCGACATATCCTTCAATGGTGACCTGCATGAATAAGATATTATGGCATTAAAATAATGCTTTATTTTTTTAAAATTTTCACGAAATAGCTAAATCTTGCGTCAAGAACTAGTAACCACGTGTAAGCTTCAAAATAAATGACGTAGGCGCCGTCAAGATACCGGCATATAACTTTCACGATCCTGCTCTCTGGTTCACAATGTGCGATAGCACATTCCAACTTGGATGTCCGAAAGCAATAACAGACAGCAAAACAAAATTTAATTACATCATCGCACATTTACCACCGGAAGCCGCAACGATCATTCGTGACGTCATTATGAATCCCGACCCTGTGGAGCCTTACGAAAAAGCGAGAATGGAGCTAATAAAAGAAGCGGTGAATCATCCCATCAAGAAATCAGGAAATTACTCATCGGAGAAGAACTCGGAGATAGACGTCCCAGCGAACTATTGCGCGTCATGAGGAGGCGCGCGGAATCTCATAGCGTTCCGGATGACCTCATGCTTGAACTTTTTCAGCAGCATCTGCCCACTCGTGTACAATCCATTCTTGCAGCTATAAGCCCGCTGACATTGGAGAAAGCTGCCGCAGTAGCCGATCGAGTCATGGAG